TCAATCTGCATTGTTTTTTCATGGACTACAGTAAGAATTACCTAAGTGGATACAGTTTGTTCACATTAAACATGTCCATACCAGCCTCCCATTTACTATTAACATCCAAGTAACACTAGACTGATCAATGTTCACATATCTAGGCCTTGCAATATGCATGTTGTGTGGACAGGTTGGGAGGGGTCGCTATTCACAATATCCCTCTTTTTAAAGGGACTGCAGTGCTAAAGAAGGGAGATGCATTATCTATCTGTAAAATAAACCTGTTTCAAGAAATGGGTAAGATCTCCAGATGAGGTAGCCTTACTGGTGCTGACCAGTCCCTTCACAAAGGCACTTAAGAGTGGAAAAATTGTGGCGGCTGAGCCTCTTAAGCAGTTGGAAATACATGAATGTTCTCATTAAAAAGTTCTCAAAATAGCACTGTCCCCCGAAACTATTGAGCTGGCCTTGACTACTGAGTATCAAATTTCATGTTGCCCTTGAAACATCAGTTTTATCACATTTTCCCACAACAAAATATCATTTGACTGCTGAGAAAATGATGAGATTCCCCATGGCCCCATAAGGGATGTACTAGATGGGAGCAAAGTCATTTGTATTTGATCAGAATGAGTGTATGCACTGGAGGGGGGGAAAACTTGGAATTATACTGTGTATTCTAAACATGCTATGATAAAGCTTTGGGTTGGGCTTTCTCCCCACTAGAATTTTTTGCATTCTGGTACATGTTGTAACAGATGTGAAAAATGCAGGTATGCAACCTTTTTTACTTAAAACCCCCCCCCCCAATATGTGTGTTTGAGACAAATACAGCTGTTCCATTAAAATGGACACAACTTTCAGCAGTGTGCCAACCCAAAGTGTGATATTTTAAAATAGTATCATATTCTCTCTTACTAACATCAGGACAGTTTCCTGTACTGTGCTTTTTTGCTGCCATTCTAAAGGTAACTTAGCTAAAGAATATTGAAACATATCCTGTTTTTGGATTCTGTGTCAAATGCTTCATTTTGCAGCACTTTAATTCATTATGTGAAACACACATAATTTCCAGGTTTGCAGACCAGATCTGGCTACTCACTTGCATGCTGCGGCTGATGACCAGCCTATAACAGCTTACGCACCAATTGGACAATGCTTTATTTCCAGGACATTGCACATGGATAGACAGAAAAGTGTGGATTTAGCATAGTTCTGTCATCATCACTGTCAATGGAGGCAATTCACCTGCATGAAAACACATTGTCTAAATCCCGATTCCTCCTTAAAGAAGGGTTATGGACTACCGTAGACTCTGGCCACAATCCCAGTACATGGTCAGACACATTTAGTGACATGCACTCTCACTTGGAATATGACTTTCCCATATACAAACACAGAGCATGCCAGGCCAGCACCACGTCAGAGTACAGGGAGGTGACCCTGCACTCAGAGGGCTGAGGGGCTTTTCTGAAAATGGTTGACTTGCATCCGAACACAAAGTGTAATTAAAAATCCCAAAATGTGTGAAGGGGAAAGGAAGAGAATCCTCAGCAATGGCACGGAGAAAAATCTTCTTTGGCCCCCTCATAGTGATTAACTGTCTCTTAGTCTAGGTGCTCCAACACCCTCCACCATGCCCCAATGAACACGAGACCGGTGCTGCTGCATTATTTCACATACTAACATGCGTATTTAGTATACCTAAAGCTGCAGCTAACTAGAGATTAGGTTACTGGGAATTTTCTTCTATACAAACCCCACTGCACTAAATCACATGCACATTTCTATACTCCTACAAACCTCGCATTCATGTTAATGGGGCTTGTGGGTTGCTAGTGGGCTGTATTCTTAATAACTTCTTAACAAAAAAGAAACATAAGCAGCAACACGACTAAGGTTACCTTAATTTGCCTTTAGAATAGAACAGGCATCTAAACAGGCAGAGCAATGTCACGAGTCATATTCCAAATGCACTCCTCACATAACTACGCAAGGTAGTACGGTCTTCATTTTAAAGAGACTGGTGGACTGGGGAAACCATAAGTAAAAGAGGAGCCTCCTTCCAGCAAAGGAAGTTATCTTGCTACAGCAGAAAGGAAACCTTGGCACCATCCCATGGAGACTGGAACATCAACTCCACAGGAATATTGTTTTGAGC